GGAAGTGAGATTGTGGTGCTTGGGGCTGGACACTCAACACAATCCTTGTGTGCAAGTAAGTGCCCATGGGGAGCCTGCATATGGGATGTTTCAGAATCCCTGCCTGCACTCTCGTTCTCCTACTGTATCATAGCCTTTGCCTTTAAATAAAAGCCTTAGTTGAGTATGCTCTGTGAAGTCTGGTAAGTCCTTTCAAATATATAAACTGGAGAAACATTTGTAATGAATTATGTAAAGAAATGAGGTATGGTTTTATTATTTATTTCATGTTTTGTGCTTCAGGTAAATCTTAAAAGCAGATTAACACACTTCTTTGTATGTCTCATTCTTGACACATTAAACTGACTTCTACTTATGTGAGCTTTGATTTTATCTTTCCTTTAGCGACCCTTAATAGAATAAAAGTTCCCCACTCTTGGATTACTCCTTAATGAGTGGATGGATTGCACTTATGAATAAGCTCCAGAAACTAAATTTAAAATCTCATTTCCTACAGTGAAATTCCATGGATTCTGACCATCTAACATCCCCATTTTCTTAGGGAACCATCTGATTCTGGTAAAGCTGACAATCACTGAAAAATCTCACTCTGCAACACATCACCTCCCAACCCAGGGCTACAGAGGGGATTCTGTGGGGCACTAGCCAAGCAAAGCATATAACCAAGATGACTACAAGGGTGAGAATGTGATCGATGCCAGGACTTATCAAAGTTATTCCCTCCTAAATAATGAAAACCTATCTACATGGGAGAGAAACAGGCCAAAAGAGAAAAGCAAAGCTTATCCCTAGACTTACTGTACAGAAATACAGAACCTATGGCCCATCAAAATTAAAAAATTGTGCAGAATAAATATGGAGAGCCGAATCCTGCTTAATTTTCATATATTCACAAAACTTAACAGCTTAAACATCACCTGTTCAATCCTGACATTTTACAAATAATAAAACTAAGTCCCAGAGAATAGAAATTATCTCCACAAGATACTTCACTTATAGCACAGTTGGAAATAGATTTTAGGTTGTCTTGGTTGCCAGGAAAATGTTCTTTGATATTTGTAAAAACTAGATTAAGGGGAACTATCCTTTTTTGTTTGTTTTTAGTAGTCAAAAATCACCTGTTGAGTCTTAAAGTGAAGAAAAAATGCTCAAGTTTAATTCAGCATTTCCAAAACTTCTTTGACCATGACATACTTTTTCTACCAAACGATTCATCAACATAGCAAAAATTAGCATTTGTGGAATATACCTTAGGGAATCACTAATCTATTCTACCAAGTAAATAACAATTTCCATATTTATATTTACTAGACTCAAATATGAATAGCACATCATAATTTCCAGGTAATTTCACTTACATTTTGCTTATTTGATCCACGGCCTATAACAGTGCCTATCAAATAGTAGAATGAATAAATATTTGTTGAACGAATAAATAAATATGATCCTCACAACAATCACATGAGAAGACTAGATTAAGCTTCATTATTATTTGTATTTACAGATGAGAATACGAGGTTCAGAAATGTTAACTGAATTCCCAAAAGTCAAAGAGCCAGAAACTATGGAATTAGGGCTTAACCACAAGTCTTCTGGCTTTAAAATCCCATGTTTGGCCGACGTAATATTATGTCTTCGGAACAGACTCTACAAGGATATCTTCACCTATTTTTAACACTAAACATCCTAACATTAAACATCATAGTTAAGTATTGGTAAGGAGTTTTAAAGTACAATCAGTTCCTGGCTACCAAAGTAATACTATAAATGTTTTTCAAGGCTAAGATACCTGAACAACCAACAGATGGGTTTAAATAAGAAAAAAAATGAAATGTAAAAAGTTTTAAAAGTCTAGTACATTTAAAGTAATATATCATAATTGTTTGACTAGGGATTAAGAGCAAGAGACCATAATAGAAAGTGGTAATGAGAAAAAAGAATTTCAATCCATCAAAATTTCAGTATATCATATAATGAAAGTCATATACCACAAATATGGTATTTTTAGAATAAATGGTATCTTGTTATGGTATACAGAACATATTTTGGTGCTTTAACACATAAAAATGCACTCAGCTTTGCCACTGAATTCAGCTGTCAAGTCAACATAAATTTAGCTGTGGTAGGTTACCTTAATACTTGATAGTTCTTATTACCAGGAAGTAAGCAGGAAACATTACCATGCTTGAAAATAATTCAGATTTTCTAAATATGAATTGTTTATATACGAGAAAATAAAAGTATTCTGTATAAAATAAAATTCTGATCATCTATATTTAGACTGCTATATTGTACAAAAAATGGCATCCTACTTTTTAACAATTGCCACAGAAAAAATCTACTGTATTTACATTTTTTTGGATTCTAATTTTGAGAGAATATATTAAATCAAATACTCTCTGTCTTATTTGTTTAAAACTAATCCTATCTCATGACTTTTTACTGCTAAGATACTACAAACACTATAGAAACTGACTTATACCACTTCCTAAAGTCTGCTCTCAAGGACCTAAGTTTTTAGTGTTACGAAAAAAAAAAAAGATTAAATAGAACATTTAATCATTTGGCAATCATCACAGCAATAATTAGTTCAGCCAAGAAATATCAACAGATGCTAAAACTAAAAGAGAAAAGTTTGATGAAGAACAGTATGTTCACTGAGTCTCAAAAGAGCCTTCAATCAAAACACTTACTGATTATAAATACAAAATTAAAAAATACTTACTAATTTCAAAGGGAAAAAGAATAACTTTATAATGGAGAGATTTAGTAGACAGAACCTTAATCAAGGTATCAGGGTATGAGATATCACCAATATAGGACAAATCAAAAACAAGTTACACTTAAGAGGATGCAAAAAGAACGTATCAATCCTTATGGGATATTTCTGCCAAAAATGTGCAAGCTAAATCTAATCATGAAAAAAACATGAGACAAAATGATTTTGAGGTACATTCTATAAAATAACTGACCTATAATCTTCATAATTTATCAGATATGAAAGTCAAGAAAAGGCTCAGGAACTGTTTCAGTTTCAAGGAGACTGAAGAAACATGACAACCAAATCTAATCCACATACAGACTCCTGATAAAAGGCAAAACTTGGTGATAGAGAAACGTGTCATTATTTGTAAAAAAAAAAAAAAAAAAAAAAAACAAACCCAAACAGTGGAACATTCAGGAGGGATTGGGCACCATGTTGACAACATCTCTCAAAATAGTTCAAAATAAAAAAATACCCTTTGTACTATGTTCTTACAAAAGGAGATAAAAACAGATAAACTTCAAGCTGTAAAACCATATATTTCTATCATCTTTCATACTAGTTTCATTTTCTTCTGCATTTGAAATTAAAGGTTTTTGAACTAACCACCCCTTTTCGGTTTTCTGGATTCATAGGTCAAGAGATTTTAAGATTTATGAGAATTTTTAAGGAGTATCATCAGGACCAGGGACCTAGGCACTAATGGAAGGAAGAAAGAAAATATAAAGAAAAATTGGAAGCTACTGTCATAAGAAATATCCTCTAGATGCACTCATAAATAGACCTGTAGCTAATTTAAAATAAGTGCTTTTCCAGAAGATGACTGCTATTACAAAGCAGAAGTAAAGTATGTCACCATATGCAATTTCAAGAATTGTCATTCTTCCCAGAAAGCAAACAAGCCTAAAAGCCTATACTGCCACAGATAAATAAAATTAGTTTTTAATTTCACTATTTAATTTCCATATCACAATAATTCAAAATGTATAAATTTTTAAAAAGAGGATATTCGTATTTAAAGCAAACAATAAAATACTAGCAATAGCTACAAGAATTTCTTAAATATACTATCAATTTATAAATCAGTTCCTTTAATATGATTTCCTTAAACTTGTCAGAAAGGATTCTCTTGGGGCAAGGTTGGAAAATGCAGATTAATAAAGAAATGCAAATTCTAAAACCAAAAGAAGGCCTTCATAATCTGTTTTGAATAAAAACCCTAATAAAAATATCTTGTAAATTTTGTAAATACTATTTATGCAGAAAAAAGAGTTAATATAGCAAGTCTGAGACTGCTATCCCTAGAAAGATCTGCTTGAGGGCTGGCACTTGGTTGGTGTCTAGGAACTTGGCTTTCAAGAAAACTCCCACCATTCCCTGACCAAGAAGGGTGTCTCACTGTGTCTAAACTGCTTGTACAAAGATTGTGGTTTGTGCTGAACCCTTATTTTCCTTTTGGGAGTCTGGAATTTTGGAACATACCAAAGCAAAGAGTGCCTACATGGCTGACTCCAGCAAAAACTCTGGGCTCCCAGGCTCAGCTGAGCTTCTCTGTTAGACAATATTTCACACATGTGGTAACGATTCATTGCTAAAGGAATTAAGCTCATCCTGGTGACTCTATGAGGTGAGAACTCTTAGAAACTGGTTTCCTCCAGACTTCACTCTGTGTCTTTTCCCTTTGCAGATTTTGCTTTACATCCTTTTGCTGTAATAAATCACGGCATTAAGTAGCACTACTGTATGCTGAGTCCTGTGAGTTTTCCTACTAAATCATCAAACCTGGGGTGATCTTGAGGACTCCTGACACAATACCTTAATGTATTATTAATAAAATTACTTTCTATCAAGTTCAAGTATTTCAAGTACGCTGTTATATATACATTAACAACTGGCAAAAGATAACATTAAGATGACAAAAACTTAAAGTCCTAGATCACTCACAAAACTATTTGCTTTTTGGACTACTGGAGAAATTATATTCAGAAGACAATATAACATTCATTTTCTCAAAGTTCAAATTTGCAATTTAAACTGTAAATATCCTTAATTTGAGATTTTATTACCTGGTTGTTAGATATTATTTCTATACATGAAAGTATTTTTAATTCCCTCAAAATGAAAGGAAATCCATCCTTATTCTCAAAACCAAACAAACAAATCCAAATGCAAACTCAAAATAGTTTACTGTCCACCACTATAATTTAGGTGGTGCTTAAAATCAGTGCATTCTTACCATGTGGAGTGATTGTCTGCACAGGCTTAGTAGGGGATCTCACATTCCATATAGTCAAGGTGCCATCTGAATGACTGCAAATAAATTGTTTTCCTTCATGATGCCAAGCAACAGAGTGGATAGCCTGTAGAAGAAAGGTGAACAATTCCGTTTTTCAAATTTATTTAAATATCAAAGTATTCACAAATGGTTTTGGAATTAATTTCTATTTTAAACTTTTTTAAATTTCCCAAACTGAAGTCAATATGTTAACTTCATGTTCCCATGAGAATTTAGCCCTCTTGCAATACAAATGATATTTTATTTCATATTGGCACTGTTTTTAGTTCTTTTTACTTACTTTATTCCTTAAGCCAGCGTAAGGAAGCTATGATAGTGACATAGCTATTAACAAGTTCAGGAAAATAAATTGCATTCTTACAGTTTTTTAGAATGGACTATACCTAAATATAAATTAGCAAGTTATTACAACCAATATTCCATTGGAAAAACTAGTTGCGTTGAGAGACTAGAACAATGTTTTTTAAGTTAACTATAATTGTAACAGACAAAACGTAAATTTGGAACTAAGATCAATAAAAGGCTGGGCATGGTGGCTCATGCCTGTAATCCTAGCACTTTGGGAGGCCAAGGCAGGAGGATCGCTTGAGGCCAGGAGTTCAAGATCAGTCTGAGCAAGAGCAAGGCCCTGCCTCTACAAAAAATAGAAAAATTAGCCAGGTATGGTGCTGTACACCTGTGGTCCCAGCTACTCAGGAGGCTGAGGCAGGAGAATGGCTTGAGCCCAGGAGTTTGAGGTTGCAGTGAGCTATGATGACACCACTGCACTCTAGCCCAGGCAACAGAGCAAGACCTGTCTCAAAAATAAAAAAATTTTTAAAAAAGATCAATAAAAACACCACAGGTTGCACTTCCAAGACATCTCTCACAGTAACTTTAATCTGAGGAAGACCTCTTCTGACCAGCAATTTATTTTACACTTCTGAACCACTTAAAGCAAAATTATCTGGAAAATATTTTTATATGACCAAAGTATTAATATGTTATCCCTCAATTTTTTTGCTCTAATATTATTTAATATTTTTTGTAATTTTTTTTTTTAAATCACTCTTCCAGATACCCTCTGGATTACTTCTTTTCAACTCAAGCTGATATATTTTTCATTATTAATGGTGAACTGACTTTAAAAGCTGCCTTACTGGAATGTGAGAACTGCAGAACTTAACACAAAAAACCACATAATTGAAACTTAAAAGTTCTGCTATGGACAAAATCAACATTTTCTATCATCTCATTCAAGGCCCATTTATTTGGGTTCTTCATATACTTATAAATTTAAGATATTATAAGACATATTATAAATCAGATTAAAACATTAAATGATGAAAGATACAATCAGTTATACTTCAAAATGCCAATATTTGACACAGGTTTTTCATTTAAAACGTTCAAAATGTACTCAACTTATGATGGGTTTACATCCTGATAAACCCACCATAAGCTGAAAATATCTTAAGTTGAAAATGTATTTAATGCTATTAGAGACACAGATGATCTCTGATTTATGATGATTTGATTTACCAATTTTTGACTTTATGATTGATTATCAGGATGTAACCCCATGGTCAGTCAAGTTCCTTAGGACTTACATTGGTGTTACGGTTTCTACTGAATGCATATCACTTTTGCATATGTTCTACCATAGAAGGGAGACAACAGTAATACTGTATAATGAAACAAGATAATTACTAAATCATATATTTTGTAAGGCAATTGATAAAAATTACATATTAGATGTTAAATAATTTATAACTTTTTTCCTCTCTAATATTTTAAGCATATATAAACTAAAAACACTAACATTTCCCTAAAAATAAAACTCAACCTGACTTACAGTGGTTCGACTTACAATTTTTCAACTTTAAAATGGTGGAAAAGTGATATTCCTTCAACAGAAACTGTAACACCAATGTTAAGTCCTAAGGAGCTTGATTTACCATGGGGTTACATCCTGACAACCAACTGTAAAGTCAAAAAATCATAAATCAAATCATCATAAATTGGACATCATCTATGCCTCTAAAATAATTCCAATTAAAATCTTAAAATAATAAGCTGATTCTAAAACATACATATACTATTTCAAAAACTCAATCTTAATATAAGCAATCCCTTAGTAGTCTTTATAGATAAAATTATTTCTGCAAAATAATAGCACTAAAAAGCTATAAACAAAGCTATTTAAATGTCTGGGTTTTTTTTAAATCGATAAGGGAAAATACAAGAGAGGTCTTGAGTGCTATCTGGAACTTACAAATAAAAACAAGGAGGAACAAGATGAATTCAGGTTAGAGAAAAAAGTGAAGAGAGGAGGAGGGGTGATGATATAGCTATTGGCATAATCCACAAAGAAACGGTATATGCAATTCTAAAAGATCCTTAAAAAATGCAGTATCTGACCAAAATTCAAAATTATAAAAAAGTTCACGAGACAGTTAATGAACTAAAAATCTGACATTAGTATTTTCATCTTTGATAAAATTAAAGGAAAAGAAAAAGCACTGTCTACTGTGACATATTTTTTAAAAGCAGTAATATCTAATTATTAGGCTTTGGCAAAAGTAGTACATATGATGCTTTGTGCTATTCTTATCAAACAAGAGGACACGTTGAAGCATAATTTTCTAGAAAGACAAAACAGGTTAGCTGTTTATCTACCAAAGTTTATACTCACTAACCCAAAATATGTGGAAACTGAATAAATTCTCTACCTACTGGTTTTGAAAACTAATCGGTAGTATCAAAATCGCTTCATAGTAAAAGCTATATATAAGTCCTAGTCCAGCTGCTCTTACATTAGACAAATAGTAACTAACATTTTTAACACACTTACACCAAAAATAATTTCTTTTCTCCTAGAAAATATGATTTAACATTCTATTCAAAATTCACAATGTAATTATCTATAATTGCTAAAACCCTTACAAAAATTTCAACAAAAATGATAAAAGAAAATTTATAATATAGACTTCAGCCTTTTCAATATTAGTTCTACCTTAGAAGGGAAACAACAGTAATACTGTATAATGAAACAAGATAATTACTAAATCATATATTCTGTAAGGTAGTTGATAAAAATTACATATTAGACATTAAATGATTTATAACTTTTTCCCTCTCTCTCTAAAGATTTTAAGCAGATATAAACTGAAGCCACTAAAATTTCCATTAAAAATAAAACTCAAGTGAAACTTTCTTAGATATTTTGAAAATGTGACCATATTATTCATTCTTTTAAGTACTGTTTTTACCTTTGCAGGGAGTGTGAGTGTGTATGTGTGTGTGTGTGTGTGTGTGAAGAAAATAAGCTTTCTTAAAACCATCCCGGTCTAAAAATGGGAGAACACCCTTAAACGAGCAAATGCTTCCATTAATATTTGTAGTACGAAAAATAATTTATTTAAAGCTGCTATTGGTTCCAATGCTGTAAGTTGTAAACA